CCCCAAAACCCCAAAACCCCAAAACCCCAAAACCCCGCTAGAAAAGAGGCGGTTGAGACTCCCAATAAGAAAATTAGTTGATGATGATGACATCTACGATGAGGCTGAATTTAAGCTCTCAGTCTTGGATCTTCCCAATGATTAATTTGTGGCTATTCATTGTCTTCCACTTCTCATTGTCAAACCCTTTGAATTTGTGGTTTGCCTTAAGTTCCAAGATACCTCTCTGCCCAGGATCAAGACTCATATTTCGATTTTTGATGATGAACAAAAGCATGTCGTCATTCTCAAGACTTGTAAAATGGACGTTAATGGGCATATCTCCCTTGTTGATCATCAGGAATCTGAAGACTTGGACAGGAGTGTTCTTCCTCATGACTACTTTTACTGAGGAATACTTGTTTTCCTCATCCATAATTTCTTTTGGGCAGATCAATTTTGGGACATCAAGTGAGCCAAAAGCAAGGATAACATTTTCTTGTGGCTCTACTTTACAAGATTTCGATAGAATTCTCATGGTACATTTTACGTTTGTTACTAAGAACTGAGGTTTCTTAATAACAGGGGACTTAAGTACAATTATGAATTCATAGGAATCTCCAGGGTCTAATTCTAGAGATGTCTCTTTCACTAAACTTTTGGTCTTAGGGTCTTCTATAAACCATCACTTAAATTTTTCTTGAGAGTCAACAAACGGCTTGTCCAGTAACCCTAAGTACGGTTGTTCGATTTCTTCAGGAGTAGATGCCTCGTAGAACTCCATGAGTCTTGCGAGAGCAAAGTTCTTGTTCAACCCTTTTGTAGTGAAGGATAAGGTAACTTCAGCTCTTTTAGGAGACTTATTGGTAATCTGAAAAGTATTGCCAAGTATTCTTCCTGGATAAAATCTCTCATAAGACAAGGACTCATTGCTAATGGACATAATGGGTAGTTTTATTTCTTCTTCCTCTTTATCCCGCTTACTTTTCTTTGATTTCTGGATTTCTTCCTCTGCGTCCCTTGCCTCTTTGTCATATTCCTCCATTTCTTCAGTCAGCTCGTCATCTTCCTCATCCTTTTCTTGAGAATTTCTTGATCAGAGGAGACGTTTTAAGTCGTCTTTGTAGTTACTTTTATCTTGGTCTCTTTCGTTTCCCTCATTATCATCATCTTGAGCATTTTGGTCTTCTTCATCATCCTTGTCTTCTTTATCATCTTGAAGGATTGGCTTCTGTCTGGAGTACTTTTTTAGTTCGTATAGAAGACCTCTCTCCTCGTCTGGCTCATTGGAATTACCTGCTTCAGTTTCATCTTCAGATTTGAACCTCGCGGTTTTACTGTTATACTTGGAATATTCAGATAGTAATCTAGGCAGGATGTCTGATTCTTTAATAATTCTTGAGACTAAAGCATCATTTGGACAGTCTGGGACCTGGTCTTCTTCATTAGACTCCTCTTGTACCTCTTGCTTTATTCTGAGAATCTGCTTAATAAGCATTTGGGAGCAATACTCTCCTATTATCTCTTCTCTAATACGAGGTTTTATAGGCAGGTTATTTAGAAATAGTTTTGATTAAGTAATACATCTTCTGTTCAACTTCAGTCTTTTCTCTAGGATGTTTGCTCTCAAGTAGATTCTCATTGCCAATTTTGCTTAATATAGCATCGTCCTCGGGCTCTTTAGCCTGAGGTTTAGAGCTAGAGGAGGTGCTAACTTCTCCTAAAAGTTTTCTAATCCGTTCTCCCTCTACGGAGGTGGATCTCTTGAGGGAATCATGGTTTCCCTCTTTCTCTTCTAATTTGTCTGTTTGCAATAATGGATCCATATTGGGCTGATAAATAAATATTAAAATGTCTATTATGAATAACCTTTACGGGGTTTTGGGGTTTTGGGGTTTTGGGGTTTTGGGGTTTTGGGGTTTTG